CGTGTGAGCGTGCGCGGCCGTGCAAGAAGCACAAGGACGAGCTGTCGTGGCATGTTGTGGCCGCAGGACTGCCACACTCCTCTGCTCCCCTGCGCGTGTGAGCGTGCGCGGCCGTGCGCGGTGCAACACCTACCTGTGGGAAGGGTACCTGTCCCTGAGAGTGGAGATAATGAGCTCCTCCACCTGCTGGTCCGTCTCGGTCACCAGGTCCACAGCCGAGCTCTTCGTCGTCACGCACTTGTCAAGCTTCACCGCCTCCCGGATCACCTGGAACCAGAACAGGCACCAGAACGTCACTAAAGCCTCACTTACAGGAGGAGCACTCCCGGAAAATCAAACACAGTAAACCTCATTTAAGAATGACTGAAAACTCTACTTTTTCCTAAGTCAAGTCTTCCTAAAAAACGTCTTAATCCCCGAGGAAACAAAACGTTCAGTTTTAATTAATAAAAAAAATCTTCAGTTTATAACTAGTTTCATACACGTAGAAAGAGGCTTAATTAAACCAGGACTGCACGGCAGCCATCAAGCACTATAGAGACCCATTACCCAGCATCGGTGGAGAAGTGAGTAATACCGTCAAAAAAATGCTGGATTAATGAGGAACTTTATGTAGGCCGGATTGAAAAAGCCCAAAGTGGAATTTAGCTGGGACACCAAACTTAACACCCAGTTACTTACTCATATTAATAACCACGTAATCAGGAGATTCGTTTAAATTTCCATCCAAAGGACATTCTGGTCCAGAAGGAAGAGCTCCATCTACTCATCCACCAAAACCACCAAAAAAAAAAAAACACCTAATTTTCCTGAGGTTCTCCATCCTGATATCTCCTTACTTAGCTTGTGGTATCTGAGCAGATCAGGCTACAAGTTGGTAAAGCGAGAGCACAGCGATTTACTAGATCAAGTTTTCATCAGCGATTTGGAAAGCAATCTAGAAAGAAAATATCATACCTGAAATCTACAACATAGCCATATTGCGTTATGCACGGCATAACTTAACAGAATTCACGGTTAAAATACACATTTCCGATCACAAAGTCACAATGAAAAGACGTCAGGAAATGACCTCATTGTTTCATATGATGGACACAGGCATCTATCAGAATGAATACCGAATTGAGCCGTCCACTGGTCATTAATTATGCCCATATGACTTGCTATGGGAAGAGGGGACACGGTCTAAAATGAATATACAGTAGTTTAAAATGCAATATGAAATGGAACCCTGCGGTCCCACTCCAGCAAAAGTCACTGTGCTGCATCCTTGCACAATTTCCGAGCCCAGCTTAGCCAGCTCACAGCTTTGTCATCTGGGAAACGGAACCACACGGGCAATCAGCAGTCCCAGTCACACTCCTAATACACAACCGTGCTCCCCACTCCAGTCGATTCAATTATTCAGTCTGGAATAATTTACCAAATGGGTTTCATCTCTGGCAGTATAGCGAAATAAAAACACACACACACACAACGGAAGCCATTCATTTTAACCCCTCGTCATCTTCACTTCCACGATCTCCTGCAATTGCCTGTATGTATGTATGAACAAAGCTCCCCCGGTTTATTACAGGATCAATTTTACTCTTCGCGTTTCTGTAACACAATATAATTATTAAGATGCAAGACCGGCTAGCTACCTTATGGTACAGGACACCACATTTTTTTCGAATTACCGAAACACAGTATCTAAGTATGACTTGTAACAAATATCTAGTGGTGTACACAAAATGGACCACACAAAACAATTGTTGCCACGCATGACTGGTGTTTTGGGCTAAAGTTTCGAAAACTGCGCTGATCATTGCATCATTCTAAATGATCAAAAAGCACGCCAACGCATTTTTGATCCCGGGGAAGGTACCCTACAATAATATTAAATACATACTCTGGGATAGTACCGCTGGAATACACACAACTCAAATGTAAGTAAATATGTATTTAGTGTTCCTCGATGCATCCTAGAGATAACCAAGCTCTGAAAAGGACTGTACCTGACCAGCTCTACGCGCTGTTTGAACAGCAAACTCCATGCATTCCTCCCAGTGCCTGTTGTTCTCCGCTGAAGTCATGATTCCCTGCCAATAATATGGAGATATTTCCAGACTTTAAATACGTTCCGATTCAAGCAGTATTTCCCCCTTCGAGGCGATCAAAACATCACAGCACAACCCGCGGTTTTTTGGTTTTTTTCCTGGTCTAGGTTGATCGCTGCTGACTTCCCCCGTTATGTGAAGAGACCGCCCCCAAACCTTAGCTACTCAGTTTCCAGTAATGTGCTCCAGCTACACACCGATCTGCATCTCGGCACCTACGGCCTGTATTGGAGTAAAAACAGAAAGGCGAGCAGCAGTACCGCCGATCAACGTCAGCTTCACATTAATGAATGCCGAGATTTAGAAACGGGTCTGGGGAAACATAACATAATCACTCTGAAATGAAGGTACGCAGCAGGCTTGACCTTCTTAGTTTGTCACATGACAGAAATCGGAGCTGCGCAGCTACAAATTTATGTAATGGGTATTTATTAAACCAAGGAAAGTAAAAAAAAACAATGACAACATAATAATCCAGCAACAAAACACTTTTTTGCACATAAAAACACAAAAACCCTTTTTTTAAAAAAAAATGACTTCACGAAATAAAGCGTAGTAATACCGCCTGTTTATTTCAATTCAATACGTTGCTAAGCAAAAACAAAAATCCCAATAAAATGAGTGAAACAAATACCATAAGAAGGTGAATCAGTAGTGTTGTGTCATATCATTTTTGAATTACCAATAATTACACATTTTTTGTATGTTCGAAATTTATAGATAAGATCGATGAAGTAGTTTGGTATTGTATTTGATAAAACTCGCATACAGGAAATTGAAGTACCTCACACTTTAAAAAAAAGCTGATGGAGCCCCAGGACATAATGTTTACATATTTCTGTTAAAACGTAATTAAATCAAATGCAATTTTAAACATTGAGTTAATCTGTAAAATGATCTGAATGTTTTAAGTAACATTTTCTACCTGACCTAAAAAGCAGAGAAGTTGTATTGCATGTAAACATGGAACCACAGTACTAGTTAGGGAATCTATATTAACTCAGCAAAATAATATAAAATATAAATACATTCTGTATAAGAGAAAATTATTTCAAACAGGTAGATTATAAGGTGGCACAGTGGTCTGCTTTAGTGCTTTACAGCACTGGGTTCGATTCTGGAGCTGGGGTGCTGTCTGCCAAGGGTTTCTTCCCACAGTCTGAGGACATGCTGGTAGGTTAGTTGACTTCTGGGAAAACTGGCCCTAGTCTGAGTGTGTGCCCTGTGTTGGACTGGTGTCTCCTCCAGGGTATATCCTGCCTTGCGCCTGGTGCCTTTTGGGATAGGCTCCGGCTCCCCCCGTGATCCTGTATAGGATGAGGATGGCGGGATGATTGGAGTCGAGGCGTGATTTGAATTGGCGAGCTCACACGAGTGTTACTCTCTTGGCTGAGGAAAAACGACAGCCTGTCTGTGCAGGACGAAGCTGTCAGCTGCCCCGAGGAGGTGATCTTTGAAAGCTGAAGGGGAGATTCGAACCTTTGGTCCTGAAAACGCTTGGGTCTCACACAATGAAAGGCACCAGGGAGTAAGCAAGAAATCAGATATGTACGTGGGTGAGACTAGGGTTAGACCTCACTCCTGACCTCTATTATAAACTCCCACTGACAATGTGCTTCACGCGTACTGATAGTGTAGTTTCTACACTGTGATTCAAAGTGTACACTTGACCAGAACCGTGTTCCTGGCTTTGTTCCAGGAAGATAATTAGTTTTGTGCATGTGAAATGTTTAGCAGCAGCAAACATTTTGTCACGAATGAAAACTAATGAGCTTAATCTAATCAAAATCACAACCACAGCAACACTAAAAACATGAATTTTAGTCTTTTGTTAAAAAATCCTAATAGATGGACAAGATAACTTAATATACTGTACATACTGTATAAAAGCTACAGCTAACAAAATGACATGTCATCTCCAGGAGAGGGCTCCAGCTTCAACCAAATCGCTTGGATTAATGTGTATGTCATGAAAATGTTTTAGCAGAGGAATATTTTAGAGCTGAAAAATTAAAAGATGATGTACAGTAACTTAACAAACCTATCATCAACAATATTTTAAGAAAATCAAAGAGCAGCAATTCTCTTCCTACTTTACATCAATGATCTAAATTCTGGTATAGTTGGTAAAATAACTAAGTTTTCAAGCGACACCAAAATAGGAGGCTTAGCAAACAAAGTAAAACAAAATATACAGCAGAAAACCTTTCTGGGGAACTCTGTTATGTTTTCTTATGTTTTGAAGGTGTCTTTTTCATCTTCATGACATGACAGCTCATTTTATTTCCTTGCCCAAGCTGCCTTTCTGCTTCTTTTGATGTCAGACATTTTCACAAGAGATCTTCAGGATCCGTGGGTTTACTTGCGATGCCATGTGCCAGCCGTCCAGGAGGACTGGGATAGCTGCTTCGTTTGGCAGAGCTCTCCTGGAACATTGTGGTTAATTCTACTGCAGGAGCGTCTGCTTTCCTTTATGTGTAGCTTCTCCTGCTAGTAATGCCATTCCTGCTGTTAGCAGCGTTGCTGGAGATTTACAGGAAGTTTAGACTGTGGTGCACCCTACAATTTTGAGGCCAACTCAAGGACATAAAAGGTAGCTTCGCTGGCACAAATGGTATGGTTATCGCCGAAACATCTCTGCCTGTGTGTTCTGTCCAAGTAGCTTGCTCGACTATTTCTTGGCCCTTCAAGATTCTGGAGCAGATTGACCTGGTCACTTATTGAATGGCACTTCCCTGTTGTCTCAGACAACGACTCTACTCGACTGTCTCTTCGTGTCAACACTAGCCTTCTCTCACCTGCCTCTGCTTGACCTGCTGCTCCTCCTGTGGACAGCTTTCAAGAGCCCACGCCTCAATGTATCCTGGGCCCCGACTAGTCTAGAATTGCATCTAATACCCGAAGTATTGGAGGGATCACAGATTCCGGGCCTGGGTCTCTGTTAAAAAGCCCCAAGCCAAACCAGCATGGTGTGTTCTCTCCACGCTCGGTTTCCTGACAGGCTTTGTCCACCAGCTAGAGGTCACACTTAGACAGTTGGAGGAGTACCGTCATACTCCCATTGGAGCTCTGTAGAATGTACTAGAATCACCAAGGCAACCAGCAGAGCCTCAACTAGACCTGTCAATCTGCTGGTTACTGTGACTACACATTCTGGCTCCTGGCTACATCAGTACATTGTAAACGTTTTTAAACACCTACATGTCATTTGCACCATTTGGTTTGAAGCTCCAAAATAAGGCTCCAGTCGCTGGGAGACTGTATTTTCTATTTGGTTGATCGGCGGCTTTGAAATTATCGCTCATCTAATATCAGGTCGTTACTGTAACTAAAAAAAGTCTTGTCTTAAAACTCATTTTTATACTCCATGTTTCAATTTTGTTTTTTTTGTGTCAATTTGTGCAGACCGACATCTTTTGTTGTCTTATTGTAAAGCATCTTGAGATGATGTACAGTATCAGTACCAGTGTTTTATAAAGGTTAATTCATATGAAAGACTAACTAGTATCAGTACCAGTGCTTTATAAAGGTTAATTCATATGAAAGACTAACTCAGGGGTGTCAGAGAGGCATCACAAGCAGTTGTCACCCCAGATGTGTGCCCACAACAATATCCAGGGCCCCTAATCAGGGCTCCACACTGCTGCCTTGTACAAGTTCATTTAAATTATTGCGTGATAAGAACTAGAAGGCCAGTTTTCCACCTCACAATGGCTGTCATTTAAACCCTGAATTAATTTCGATGTAAACTGAAACTGTTATTGTGTTTTCTAGACCATCTGCTGGCGGCTTGCCTTGGGGAAATTTTTTTGTGCTGGATTCGAACCAGTTTAGAGTGATCTTGTGTTTTGGCTTTCAAAGTGCACAGTAATCCCAAAAGAATGTGAGCTAACAGCCGAAATACATCCTCACAGCTGGACTTCCATAAGAGCTGTTGGGGGTTGTTTGTAAAATCGTCTTAAACTACCTATAGCTGTAAACAAAGACAGCATTTTTAAATTGCGAAGGTTAAAGACATAAACCTAAGAGAGCAGATGACGTACATTATGCGAGTGTTTAAAAAGTGATTCATTAAGCGTATATATCCAGTTACTCCACATTTGTAAAATAAATGCTGATTATACTGTAGCTCAGCGTATTTGCCACAGGGCATTTCTGCAGAGTACACTTCCTAGGTGAGTATTCAAATCATCAATGGCCTTGATAAAGTCGACCTCATGATTTCTGCACAATCAATAGTGAAACCCATGCCAGAGGGCCCGAGTGGGGAAAATGAAAGAGCATTTCAAACTGAAAACTGGAATGGAATGGATTTTCTGCAATGGATTGTGGGATTATGGAGAGAGCCACCCTGCCGTGTTGATGAAGCTCAGACCCTGGCTTCTTTTAGGAAACTGCTTGATGAGATTCTTGGTTTCAATTACCTACTAAAAAACTATATTTGGGCCAAATGTTCTCCTCCCGTATGTGAACATTATGTTGTTATCTACCGCTGAAGTGCAGCCCCCACTTGGATCATATGCGGTAGCCATTCTAGCCCAGCAGCCTCACCACACAGCTGGACAGGCCGATCTGTGAATAAGCTCAGGCTCTGCAGCACACATTTCACCGCAGAAATGTCCCAACGTGATCTGCAGGCTGAGTTAACAAGAACAACTTAGGAGTAGTTGTCGGCAAAACCGTCTGAAAGTCAGGAGCGATGTTTCTATTGGATTGAAAGAGATGTATTCACTGGTTCAGGTGGGCAGCTGCATCAGCATGCGTAGGCTGCAAAGGGACAAGTAACAGGTTTATTCCCTTCTAGAAAGAGAAGAAAGAGAACTCCATGTTTTGGCCGTGGAGCCTTCTTTGGGTGTTCACATAACATTCACTAGCCTGCTTGCTTACAATGTCACAAGGACGTTTCACCTCATCTGAAGTTTTGTTGCCTTGTTCTGAATCCCAGAACATGACGCTGTGTGTGCACATTTGGAAATCTCATCTATTTGGTGATGTAAATTGGAGGCTTTACATGTTACTGTGTACATATTACCTTCACTGTGGTTTGAAATGCACTCATCAATGATTCTAACCCCAGATATAAAAATACCATTGTAGTTCCCCTTTCTATACATATATTAACAGAGTTACAGTATGACTGATTTGGATTTCTATTTCACAGACCAGCCACACCAGTTTTCCTTTGTTAAAGTCTTTTCTAACACATATGCTTTTGTATTCCTCCAACAGCTTTTTTTTTAAAAAAAAAGACTCATACATTTATATAATTGTTTTGTGTCATGCACTAAGGAGGAAGACAAAACACAAGCAACGGCTGTGTATATGGAAGAACTCCTACATAAATACAGGAAATAAAACTAAAACTAATATAGTTCACTGCTAACTCCCTTTAACAAATGGTTACCGGAGACCAGATGTTATGCTTCTTGTGTATGTGAACCTGCATCACTTATCCTTGCAGTTGTCAAAGTCAACCATGTCCCTAAGCAGTTAGCAGCAACATAATGTGGCCTCAACAGCCTCAGTCCAGAACTTAAGGGTAGTTCTTTACAGCTGTTGAACCCAACAATTTCCATTGCACTTACAACTCAGTGAGCCATTAAGGAGACTGAAACAGTTCAAACACTGAGGAAAGAGTACATATTTATTAATTCCTTTGAAAAAAAAAGTGTTGTTGTCATTCATCATATGCAGGCCTGTACAAATTCATGTTGAGGATTTTACATCCTCTTTGCTGCTTCTTCCCTGGGGGGGGGAGATTTCAGTGTGTGTTAACAATCACAGATACAATTCTTTAAATTGTAAAGTCATTAACCGTTGTCTGTTAAGACCTAAATCCTCCTTTAAGACTCCAATCCATCTGTCTCCTTTAGCTCTTTAAGGCTGTAGCCTTCGCTGCACTGCTCGCAGACGCTGCTGTCCAGTGCCATCTCCTTTAGGGCAGAGTGCCCCATGTCTCGATGAGCATATGGCCATACTCACAGGCTCACTCGATCACTGAACACGGGAGGGAACTGCTGGGACCTCAGATTCATTTCTTTCCGACATATATCAGATACATTCTGAGAGTTTTGTAGACCCCTGCTCTTTGTGGACACTCAGATGTAACTAGAACAGGCAACACTTACCACCAAACATCCCTGGGATTTTAGAGACTAAATTGCCGTACTTATTTATACAATACCACAACAGATTTTCCTCCGTGTCACAGTTGTCTTCCCTCCTCTAGAGGGCGCTCCGACCATTTTTATTATTGTAGTTTCACCATTACGTGCACCTGTTCCTATTTTCCTGTCCCTCCTTAACTTTGGCGTCTCCGGGCTTCAGGGCTCGGTTTCGGAAGATGGACGTCACAAGGCCTGCCTATTCCCTGGGCTTGCGGGCAGCCCGAGGGCAGGTCTTATTCCTGGGTCCGGGCCTCGGAATACCCGGCTCCGTTATGATTTTAACTTCCTTGTTCCTGATTCCTCGTCCCCGTTCCTAACTCTGTTTGGATGGGGCTCCCAGCTGTGGAATTTTGGACTGCTTCCTGGTTTCCCCTTCCGGATTGTTCGCCTGCGCCACGCCCCCTGAGCACCGGAACACTGCCATCACGCCCCCCTGTCAGTCATCCCGTCCTGTTCCTGCTGTGTTTCTCTGTAGCCCTTCTCCAGTCTCTTCCGGATTTTACCGTCTGCACAGGGTCCTAAATACGCACTACACGGGAGTCTGGACCGGCTCCCGAGACACTCTCTGCATGTATGCCCAAAGAGTCTTTTCCAGATTTCTTGACTGGTAGTACAAAACCAATGCAGCTGTAGCTATTCTTTTAGCTAGAATTTCCACCTTTGCATTTTGAGCAGCCCTTCAGACGTCACCAGACTGGGGGGTGAATGCTTTGTTAGCATTTTATGACTGTCTAAACCATGCTGGCTGGATTCCAGCTCAGTATTGGAGAGGGACAGTCAAGAGCAGCTTTCTTCGAAAACACATCTGTTGGTTCTGCTCACTTTAGGGTTTATGCCATGGTGGGACGTTACTTCCCATTAGATTAGTCTTAAAAAGTAACAAAAATGCTTTTGTATGATTATACAGGTGCTTTTCTGTGGAATTGGGTAAAACCACCTCTAAGTCTTTCTAGGACATATGTTTCTGCACTCATGTTTTTCCTCTTGAAATATAGCATGCACTTTCTTCTAAACATACAGTGCAGGAAAAACAGATGTTTCATGTGATCAAAAAGACTGAAGTCTACTTGATGTGTGCTTGAGCAAGGTGAATCACAGATTGCTCCCCTGAACGTCCCTAGAGTATAAAGTTCTTCTAACCTGAGGACTTAGTTACCTGGTAATATAAAGAAATAAAGAAGCTGAAGTCCTTCTCTTACATTCTTAAATCATATAAAATGAATTATATATATAATTAAATGTAAAAATTTTGCTTACACTTTGACATTATTGAGTGTTTTGTGTCAATCAATTGCCTATAAATCTCAATCACACCCAATATGATTCCATATTGTCATGTCATCTTATTTGCCACATCACTTTATACCACACGGTGTCGTGGGAAGCGGGAGCCTACCCAGCAAGCAGCGGGCGCAAGGCAGGGTACACCCAGTCCATCGCAGGGCCAGTGCAAGCCAACCGTACAGGGGGACAATCTGGAGGGCACAGTAAAGGCCGAGGGGGGGAATTTGGCCCAGACATCGGGATAACTCCCTACTCTTATCGAGAAAAGTCAGGAGATCTTTAATGACCACAGAGAGTCAGGACCTCGGTTTAACGTCTCATCCGAAAGATGGCGCCCACTACAGTATAGTGTCCCTTTTGTATGTCTTTTTGCATCCCACCTGCACCCCATCTCCCCCTCTGCAGCTGCCCCTGGGTCACCCCTCACCCCACAGGGGGCCCCAGCCTTCTCGTCCCCTGGCGGGGAGACCACTCCTCAGCCAAGCGGGTTCAGCCACATTTTCACTCCATATTCCTTTCTGAACGCTTTAATTTTGGGTGGTGTTGTCATTCTGGGTAAAATATATATATTAAAATGATGTCTGTGACACTTTTTTTAATTATGCACATAAAAACACGCGGTAAGTTTTTTTTCATGGGCTCTTTAGGTCTTGCTGGCCCTCAGCAGAGCAGGCAATGTGCATTAGATAACAGGGCTGCGGCTCCAGTTAGCCCGAATACCGGGTGTAAGTCTATAATAAACCGCCGAGGGAATAGTGTAAGAATATAAGAAGCTGAAAAGAGGACACAGGGGCATCCGGCACCTCTGGCCTGTTGCTAGTAGCTCATTGAGCCAAAGATGTCAACCAGGCGTTTATTTCAGGAAGCCGCGATGTCCAGTGACGAAGCCGCCTCAGGCGCCGAGTGAGCGATGTGTCGCTGTGGCGGTTTGACCAGTTGACGAACAGGAAATGCTGGAAGCGCATCATGTTGCTGTTCTTGTGAACTGTTCTCGGTAAACTGTGAAAAATGTGGGCGAACGGGTTTATCTTTAGCATGATAATGACCCTGATACACGGGGACAATGAATTTAGAAAGACAAATCGTGTCCCATACTGTGGCGTCGCTGCTTTTCTAAGGCCACTCAGATGTTAACGCTCGGTTCCGAGGGAAGAATTAAAAACACAATAGTGCCAGTTTGGTGCAAACCCCAGGACAGTGGTCCTGCACAAACACACTAAGAGTGACAGCGAGCCAGAGGTACGGTCTTTGTCCTTTTGGTCTGTTTAAAAAAAGCTTGACTAATTCAGTTTCATTGATTAATTCGTCGCCTGCAAAGGAACAAGTTCAGGTTTATTCCATGCTGAAAAGGAGAGAGACACGACGCTTCGGCTGGGTGTCACACCTGAAAGAAGGCAGGTTCATTTCATCCGTCTGAGGAGGAGACGCGTCGTGCTCAGCTGCTCAGCTGCTCGGTACCACACAGTGCGCAGTCTGAGAGCGCTAACCTAGCAGGCATCCGCCACCTTCTTGAGGCTCTCAAATAATTCGGATTTAGAAAAAAAAATACATATTAAGCAAAAATAAACGCGCGTGTGTGTGCGGACAGCCAACGGGGATATTCAGAGACAGACGGTTCTCCAACGTGTTTTTGTCTTCACTTTTTTTTTTATATCACGATTCACATTGACCTCGATTCCGAGGATTAGAGGGGGTGTTTAAAGGGATGCTTTGAATCGTTCGGATTTGTTGTTGTTTTTTTAATCTCGGTTATATGTCGTGCCAGCGCTCGGATGCCTTATTCTGTTGGTGTTTTTTTTTGACGGATAATGACTGAAGACCCCGCTCTTCACGGCAGGAACGGGGGGAAAACGCTGGTTTTGCACCCTGACCCAGGCAGATGAGGATCCAGCCGATGTCTGCCACGGTGGGGTTTGCCGGGGAAGGGGAACAAGCGCCGACGAGCCCAGCACGGCGTGGATGAGCCGCCGGTCCCCACGGAAGCTCTTCCCTGGATAAAGATGTAACAGACCCCGAAACAGACAACACTGAGAGAGAGAGAGCCGTACCTTCGCGGCCGGACCGTGCCGCGCCGAGCCTCCGCAGGCATGCCAGGACTGCGCGGAAAGGGGGTCTTCCTCTGTCTCCTGCTGTGGTCGGCCAGCTGCGTGTTCCTGTTCTGCGAGTATCTCATCTACTTCCCGGCGGTGTGGCGCTGCTCCTGGCCGGAGCCGGGCGGTGGGTCCGGTGGGTCCGGCGGGTCGGGCGGGCAGGCTGCCCCGGTGCTCCGCGCCCTGGTGCTGTCGGATACCCACCTCCTGGGTGCCCTCCGGGGACACTGGTTCGACAAGCTCCGCAGGTCGGCATGCTTTCCTTTCCGCCGAGGGCACGAACCGGGCGCTCTCTGTAATAAACCGTATCAGCGAATTGTGCAGGGATGACAAACCCGACGCCCCAAAATGCTGTTTCTTTGAAATACACACACACACACAAAGTGAAGGCTTCCCACCCGTAAGGATGGGTAACGCGGCGCCCTGGTTTATGGGGTAGGCGACGGTTTTTTTCTCGCTCTGTGCGTTACAGTAATATCATAAGATCCTCCTGCATTTTTAATCGTTAATTTTGATATGGTACTACCTTTTTTCAAATTTGAATACATATTATACCGCAGTACTTAATAATAATAATAACAACGGCAATACTAATTAATTCTAATACTAACATTTAAGTAATATATATATAGCAAATTAATAACTGTAACTTAAAAAGCCATATTTAAGTTTGATCTATATTGCGACAAAGCAGTATGTTCCTTGTGAAGGCATAAAAAGCTATTGCAGATGGGAGTCTCTAGTAATAACCTAAACGCCACTTTCTAACGACGGCGGTGCAGGCGCTTATGTGCCTAAAAGTACTTTCATTAAATCGTTAGGCGCAGCAACGCCAAACGACAGCCTGACAGCCGCGAGAGCGTGTTTTCGCTCGCTCTGCTTTCTGTGCGGCAGGAGTGTGTAGGGAGAAAGCAGGACAGAGAGACGAGACATCGGGACAGATGGCTCAGTATAATCAGGACCAAAGCAGGCAGTACATGTTACATAATCAGAACATCTCTGCAAGTTCAGCAGAAGGGATTATAACTACGATTAATCGAGTATTCAATTGTGTCTGCAGTATTAATGTCGGTATCAGAAGATTTGGGGATAAAGCTTAATTCGTTCTCCTAGGACTCAGCTAATGATGTGTGATGTTCTTATTTATTGCATAAATCAATTTTTTCTTACGTGTTGCCCGTGTCTTATGTGTCAACATCTCCCAGCAGACATTATAAACCGAGGAGCCGAGGCGCTAAACAAGACTCTCCAGAGACACAGGGCTTTGAGTTTGACAATCCAGTCCAGCTCATCATTAATTGAACCAATAATTTGTTTAATGGGTCAGAATTAAAACGATCATTAGCTACCAACTGAAAGTGTCTATAATATCTAAAGGATTTTAAAGGGGTTCCCAAAGTTTAGGGGTGTCATTTATATAAAAATATCTCATCTTAACAATCATTCACTAATTACTGAATGAACCATTCATCCTACACCATATATATATGAAAGTATTAATTTGATTTAACTTTGATTCATAATTTCTTTAAAAAGACAGGTAGAGAAACCCACATTCCTTAATGTATTCTGAGTAAAATAATCCTTTTTTCAATAAGTCATATCTGTTACACTATTAAAAAAAGAATATCTTATATTTTCTCCCTAGCTGTCCTTGGTGTTTATAGAGCAGACAGAACTATCAAAAATACTAATTTGAAAAAAAGTTATTTGCAATTCAAATTAGAATTATTCAAAAAGATATTGTAGCATATTTGAGTTCACGCAGGACAAAGGACAAATGGAGACACCAAACCAAACACAGGATTTACACACACACATAAGGGGACCAACAGAACAGGTACACAGGTTTAAGGTTTACACAGGACACTTAAACTAATATAACACTATTTCCATACGCAGGGTCAGCTGCTGGTCATCGTGCTGACCCTCAGACAAATGAACGTGCATATTTGCATATTTCATCCCTCTATCTCATTGATAAGGATCTAACCGAAATACTGAATCACACTATGGCTGTACTAAGATGTAAGAATTAGCATATTTGTCCCCAGTAGTTCAAGTAGGTGCAGTAGCTGCGTCAGCATGCGTAGGCTGCAAAGGAACAAGTTAAAGATTTATTTCTGGTGAAAAGCAGAAAGGAAACACAACATTTCAGCTGTGGAGCATTCTTTGGGTGTATATTTGTCTTCATTTGTTTTTTTCTTTGAATGAGGACAACATGATTCTTTTACAAACCTTGATACATGGAAAAACATGATTCTTGTACAGTAGTTTAATACAAGAAGAAATTAACTGTTTTCATATTACTATTATGTACTGTATGTGGCTGATGCTCTATTCCAGAGTATAATGGCATCCAAATCCAAACAATAGCTTTCAGTTCTTGGGTGGTACACAGCTGTTTAATTAGAGTGCTCTAGTGAAATGCCAAGCCTTTTACATGATTCTCAATCCCCTTCCTATAGTGTGAAAAGTTTCAAAGTGTCTGTTTTGGGCATTGATTTGAGCCACTGGAAGAATGGCAATGCATTCCAAATACGAGGCTGGCTCAGAGCTATAAATCATTTACTGGGAAGGTCTGAAAATCTGAGTTCTTTTATATGTTCAGAAGCAGCATTTACAGCATGTTGTCCATGACAAAGGACGGGAATGTGTTTCTCAATTGGTGTACCTGTGATTTGTGAGTGGTGTTTTTCCTCCGCAGGGAGTGGCAGATGGAGAGAGCCTTCCAGACTGCCCTGTGGCTCCTGCAGCCAGAGGTGGTCTTTATTTTGGGCGATATATTTGATGAAGGAAAATGGAGCTCCCCAGAGGTACGCGTCAGTGGCTACTGTGGAGACACTTGCACTTGAGTGACTTTGTTATGCATTGCTTTCCAAGTGCCTCAGTGAAACTCATTTTCACTCCACATTGAATATAAATCTCTATAAAGTAAAACCTCTGAATTTACGTCAAGCTTAAGATCACAGTTTGTTTCAAACGGTGGATTTCATGGTTGAGTAAGAGTGAAGGTGTTTGTTATCTGGCAATACTCAGAAATCTAACCTGCATACCTAATCTGCATCCCCAGGCACATTACCTTTCAAATTATTACCGCTGTCTTTGTCATGCTTCTTAATAAAGGATAATACTGTGATCAAGATGATCCGTTACCAGAATGATTGCAGAAATCAGAAGAAGTGCCTGGGGTTCAAGGTTTTCAGGTGTGATATTGTAAATCAGTCTGGGTGAATCAGAATTCAGCAGCTGCTGTTTTAGCATTCGTGTTGGCATTTTGAACAGAACACCACAAAAAACAACACATTTCACTTCACTCCTCCCAAATACTAAATGCTTTTCACAGTAAAACACATTCTCTCAAAGATGCAACCAGCGTTGTTGAGCTACTGGCACATGAAAGTGTGGATGCGGGGATTGATCAGAAAGGGGGCTTCCTGCTGTGGAGGGTTAATGAGGCTGTTTCCTTCCTCTCTCAGGACTGGGAAGACGACGTGAGGCGATTCCTGCAGATGTTCCGGCACCCCAGTGACACGGAGCTGGTGGTTGTAGTTGGAAACCATGATATCGGGTTCCATTATGAGTAAGTTTCAGCTACGAATGGAAGCCCATACTAATTTAATAACATAAAAACATGTTTAATGCTGCAGTTTGTGATAAAGAGAATTTAGTTATCGCATTTAATTTAATTTATGGACATTCTTTCCCAGCAATAGTTGAGAAAAAGCACATTCTTGTTGACTTGGCTTTTCTACCATATTAGGTTGTCAGATTCTGTGCTTGACAAGTTCTGTTTGGACTAAGTGGCTTTCTGGTGGATATAAAGGAAATTAATTTCATGCTGTTGAGTCAACAGGTGAGCCTGAGTGTCAGCTACAGTACCGAAAGAGACAGCAGACATGATTAGCAAAACAGGGGCTCTCCGTCCCCTTTATTAGAAGCAATTTGCTTCATGCCAGCTCACATATTGCGCAAACAAACTGTAGTTTTGTGCAGCATTTAGTGTCTGTAAAGTGAAAAGCGTGTCCCTGATTTGGTTCGGCTTTAACAGCGGCTGAAAGCTTAAAATCCTGGCCGAAAAGTACGTTGGCTGTCATTTCCAAATAACTTCTTTGGGACTGTTTCGTTGGAGGACTTGCGCTGTTCTAACTTGCTGCTTTCTGTTAAAAGCTACTGAACGCGTCTCTAAATAATGAATGTCCTGTATGCCGCCACGAAGCCTGAACCTGCTGTGCACGGACTTCGCCTGCTGGTCACAGGATGAGGTTAAGGCGAGCGAACCAGCGGGTTGCTCCTTTCACACTGTCCCTCCCCTGCAGGATGAGCTGGTTCAAGCTGCAGAGGTTCGAGAAGGTGTTCAATGCCACCTCGGCCAGGATAGTGACCAGGAAAGGAGTGAAGTGAGTGTGTTTTCAATCTTGTGCTCTTCTTCCTGTGATTCTGACAGAGCCGGAGAATTCAGATACTCTGGGTATAAAAAAGAAAAACATTTTGTGGTAAATGTTTAGTCAAGACAGATATCCTGCTAGATTAACAAAGATACAAGGAAACAAGCCTGTGGTCACTACCTACCTGCTCGTCAGTTTGCTTAGAGAGTAAAGAAGTAGAATATAGTGAGAAAACCACAGCCTTGTGTCATGACTACATGCAGTTGAACAGGGAATTTGATAATTCATTTTTGTTTCTAGTTGTTGTGTCCTTGTATTGTTTGCACAAGTTGTGTGTCAATGTTGTAAGCCATTGTGTGGTAGCTGTTCTGTGTACATGCCCTGCTGAATTCACCACCTCTCACTGCCTTGTGTATCTGCTGGATTTTGTAGAGGGGGGTGTTTGTGCTACATTTGCATTGCGCTCTGTCTCAGGGTGCAGCTGTGCAATTGGAATAAAAGAGCTTTTCCGAATAAACCTTCCATCTGGTTATCTCTTCTGGGACACATGACATGTTTTATAAGTTATTTTAAGATTGTTGCACATTCTGTGTGTTGTTCCAGCTTGTTTTACCAGCTTGTTTTTGTTGTTAGTATTTTGTTGGATTTCTGCACTTTGAAAACTTTAACATCTGTGTTCAAGTACGCTTCTCGTGGGACACTCATTGGTCCAAGCAGAACGAAAAGAACAGAAAAAAAACTGTGCACGTTGCAATCACCATTGACCATCTACTTCCGTTTTGAAATCAGTCAGCCTCTGCTGAAGTAATACACAAATTCATCTTTAGAGTAGGACACGTAAGCTTGAACTTAACTTTCACACCTTAAGTAGACGTGTGATCCAGACAAGCTGATGCAAACTGACAGGAGAGCTGAGGCAGTGGTCTGGCTTTCTTCCTGCAGCACGATATGTACTGCCATCGCTGTGGACACAGTTTGTGGATCTACAGGAACGAGTTCAGTGCTTCACCTGCTACAACTCACAAACTCTGACACTGTAGTCCATGCAATAACTCCCATGATTAGTTTACCGATCGTTGTAGTAACTGCAGACATTACTCATTAGAGTTAGCTTTCAGATGTTACTGTGCTCAACGTGATAGATTAAGTCTCTCGGCCATTTGAATGAGGTGAACGTTTTGCGGCTCGGAGTGTGCTTGAACCCAGATCACCGGTGCCCTGCCTGTCCTTCCCTCCCCTCAGCTTCCTCCTGGTGAACAGTGTGGCTCTTCATGGAGACGGCTGCTCCATCTGCCAGAGTGTGGAGAAGGAGCTCTTCCGACTGTCCCACGCGCTCAACTGCTCGACGCAGGTCAGCCCACCTCCCTCTCGCGGAGACGAGCGCCACAGGGAGGGGCTCCCGAGGGAGACGTTCCCGGACGGGGACCGTCGCCGTAGCCTCGCTGGCCCCTTGTGTAAAATCGGATACCTGAAGGAGAAGACGCACTCTTCTGTCTCCTGTGCCGTTGCACGTGCCTTTACAAGAACCAGACAGGACAGCAGCAAACAAGCTAGAGGAGATGGCTGTGAGCTGTGAATCACAGCTGCAGTTCTTCATCCATCATTGCTCCTTAATAATAATAATAATAATAATAATAATAATAAGGAACAAGTAATAGGTTTATTCCATGCTGAAAAAAAGAAGAAAGAAAACACGTTTC